GCGCCCACTAATCAGAGTACCGTTGCAGCCGCATGAGAAAGCGCGTAGACAAAAGGCGCAGCGTGGCAGAAAAAGTCCTAATTACTAAATTCCTATCTAGTGCGAAAAAGCAAAAAGCATACATTCCAGAAAGAAAGTCCAAAATTCCGAGAGCCATCGAGGCTCGACAAAATTCGAAAAAGATTCAAAAGGAAATTAAAAAAGAACGAAACAATTTCCCGCGCGATGTCCGCGCCCAAAAAGATCGAACCTGAAACGAAAGAAACGTCGTCAGCATTTATTAATCGCGCGCGTGGTGGCGCGCCAGACATCCATTCGACCAATCTCCCAACCGGTCGTACCCGGACACACCCAGCCCCGAAGAAGCGACGAAAAAGACAAAGAAGCAAGGGTACTGATGCAATTTTCCACCGATCCCGATTTTCCGAAAGCGGCCCAATCTTCCCAGCTTAGGACCCCTTGTTGCAACCGCGCAGAAACTCGTGCGCTACAGAAAGTGGTTCGTCACATATAGCTGGGCCAAGTACTGGTGTTCAAGATAGTCACGGCCCTTGTTATACATACCAGATAAGGCTGTCCTTCAGAGGCCATTTGTCCTTGCGGCTGTGACCCATCCCCTTCATACAGCTTCACGCCCCTGTTCGCCGGGGTTGCTTCTGGGCCTCATGCCGTGGGGGGATGTGGGGTCTGATCCAGGGGTCACGGGGTGGAGAGGTGGGGGGCATTCGGGCGGGGTGTGTGTCTGTCGGGAGCAGGGAGGCAGGAGTGGGGGTTGGGTACCAGTGCCGGGGCGGTACTGGCATGATCCAGGAGGACCAGGTGTTACTCGGGGGCGGATCTTACTATGAGATTTGCCTTCTCGCTATTGCTGCATTTCTTGACATTGATTTTAGATGTTGCTAAACATTGAAGAAATCAGGTGATCTGGAGTTGTACCCATCACGCCTGAATCTTTCTTTTTTTTTTTTTTCTTTTTTTTTTTTTCTTTTTTTTTTCACGCCTGAATCTTTCTAATTCGCAGCCAGGAGGCTGGGCTTGTGTGGATTCCATTTTCACCGTTTCATGTTCTTTCTATTTTCGGTAAGGTTGTGCAGTACAGCTTCGCTGGGACGGGTTCGTTTGGGGTCTCCGACAGCAGAAAATAAGGTCCGGTCGCAGTCGTCCCTAATACCGGTTGTAGGGCAGGTTACTTTGTCAAGGTCGTTGCAATTGAGAATAGGGTGCCGTCCATTGTTTCCGTTTTGAGAGGTAGCGTTTTTTTCCCGTTGAAAACTGGGGGCCGGGTGGGGGCAGGCGGGCTTTATGGGTTTGGGCGGGCGGGCTATATGGGTTTGGGCGGGCGATTTGGGTCTGTTTT